ATATATATATATATATATATATATATATACACATATACACACATATACACACTATACACACTATGCGCGCATTCATCTTATTACTTTTTAGAACGTTTTAATCTCTTAAACAAATCTGTAACCCTGATAACTTTGGTTATTAGATAGATAATAACTATAATTAACAAACATTAAAATAATAATCCATTTTAATGTTAAAGAAAAAAACATTTACCCCTACTGATTAAAATTATATAAATTGTATCTAACACAAATGGAAAGTTTTACTTTGTTTCTAAATTATTGAATTTCACTGTGCATTTTCACTGTTTTCAAGCAATATTTTACTAGCAGTTCATAAGAAAATGCGTTTTACTGATTTTTCATTTTACAAACTAGGAAAATTATCCTGCTGCTGAAAAATTAAGACAGTAATAAGTCTCAATATGTAAGTGTATACAATAATTATGTTGCTAATGATTTATTTGACTCCACCAACTACAGTGGTTTCTTCTCTTTCTCTGAATCAATTGGGGTTTTTTGGGATGTAAAATTATCCTAAAGCTCTAGATATATTTTCCTATGTGAGCTGAGTTTGGAAAAAATCTACCCCTCACTCTTTCTTACCATCATCAATCTTCTCCCAGATACTATCAAACTTCTTATCTTACCTTTTGATAATGTAACTTTCTTATTAGATTGAAGAAATGCTATAAGCTTAATATATTTCAAGTTTAATGAAGCATTTTACAAAATACTACATGATAAGTTAATCAGCAAGCTTTTTAAGAGTTTAATTGTTGTGACATTCAATTTAACAGAGAAAAATATACTTTTCAAATAATGGGAAATCATTGTCCCATGGTTTAGATCAAACCTCACCAAAGGTCTGTGTACAGTTGTGGACGCATTTTTGGAATTGAAGAAATTGATGCAGGTTTGCTGAAAAGTAATGAAGATTACTAGCAGACTAAAAATTATGTTCAATGAAGAGAACATAAAAAAGATGACTGCACAGGAATATGATAAAACTTTCTAAATATCTGGAAGTTATTTTTTCATACAGCAGAAAATCAAAAATTGATTTTCTTTCCAAAATACCTTCATAGAATGGATACAAATTACGGATATATAGACATCAATCAAATATTAAGAT